TAAACACACACACACACACACACACACACACACACACACACACACACACACAATAAATAGCAAAACTTTAATATGTTTTAAACTTTATTTGCTCCAATTAATCTATTTCAACAGTATCGTGGATAATTTATAATAACTTCTATATCACACTGAGTCAGAACTCTAATGCTGCCGCCTATAATATGGGTCTAATTAAGTTCCTAGAGCACCTACTGGATATTATTACCAATAATAATTAAGAATCATCCAATTTCAGCACAGTTTTAGAGGTTTATTCATAGCCTCCTACCTCTTTACTGGCTGGGGACGGAGACTCAAAGCTGTCACTCCCCTCGTGTGATGGCAGGTGATGGCTGGAAGACTCCGCCCCCTGTGGGGAGGTGGAGTCTGAGCCTGGTGACTGGACAAAAGAGACATACTAATTAATATTACATGCTTTACGGTCTATTATTTTGGACAACTGATTGAAGAAATATAAAAGCTACATTTACTCATGTGACATTTAGAGTATATTAGATCAATTAAAGTCTTCATGCTTTTTTAAATAAACAAAATAAACAAAAAAGTACATTTTAAAATGTTATTTTGAATTTTAATTGAATTTTAAAAGCAAAGCAATGAGGTAAATGAAACAGATTGTGATATAATGAAAAGACATGCAAAAATGTGACAATTTGAAACTGTCAAGTTTCAGTCAGACGTATCCGTTAAACGTTCAGACAGCAGGTCAAGGGGGGAAAAATTACAAAAGAAAAGTACATAAGAGATCGGTCTTCTTATATTGCCATCTCAAAACTACACCTCATCTCTCTGAAGAGGCCGAAATGTGAAATACTAGGGAACAAATGAGTCATACCCTCAACTAGAGCGCATTTGGATAAAATATTAAAAAATAATTTCGGTTCATGTTTGTCATAACATATAAATACTGCACAGTCCCACAATGTATCTCCGTGACAATAATATCATCAGATATGTAGAATGAAAATTGAAGAACATTCTCACTTTAGCTTATAATTATCATTCAAATGAACATATCTGAAGTACTGAAACATTGACAGATAAACCCAGAGCACATTCACACAACGAACTCCTCACCTCATCACCATGGCGGCGATCTACCGGATACATCCAAAAATTTTCCATATCAATAAATGCTTCCAAAAGCTGCAGTGAAAAATATTCTCCCACAGGATACACTCAAATCAAGCAGATGTTGCTCTTTGGACCAGAGTACGAGAGAGAAGAACATAAGAGCCTCTAGCTCTCTCATCAAACTCGCGTTGATAAGTTCACACTGGCTCCAGACAACAGAGGTGAACACGGCTCCTGTTACAGCCCTACAGGAAAACTGTTCCTGGAACAGATCGCTCAAGAGTGACTTGGATCAGAGACCACTACACTACGCAACATCAGTGCAGGCCTGTGGAAAAACACTCATTTCTGCTAAAGTCTCTGTTCACAGGTGGAATAATCAGCACTTAGCTAATACTATTAGAAGTCACTATTAATAATTGACTTGCTTTTGAATTTGTACTTGAATTCAACACACCCTGGATTTTACATTACCCATACAGTGAACTTGTACAAGAAATGTATAATACTTAAAATAAATAAATAAATTAATTAATTTCAAGCACGTTAAGCATTAATGCAGGGCAGGGGAAGAAGGCGGTTTTTCTTCTCAAGTGTTACATGAGCCTTGCTGAATTATTTACAGGCCGTCTCTTACTGTACTAAATAAATCATATTGTGGAGGGAAAAAATAACAGGCTTCTGATGAAATGTCAAATTCTGAGAACAACAGAGAATGGAAGCGGGCAGGACACCACCAAGTTCAGAGCAACTTTGCAAGATGCATGACTGTTTAGCATTCACTGAAAGACTCCAGAAAATTGTTTACATGATCAGAACAAAGATCGTTAAGACAATCATTTTTAAGTTCTGAGAAGTTGAGAAACATCAACGGTTTTTAATTTTAAACAGATGAAATGTTATGATATAAAATTAACAAGAAACAGATACTGCTTTATTTCTAGGTCATGAATCAAATGTGAGAATTTTAAAAATAGATTATGAACTTTTGAGGTTCTTTGGATCATCTCAAATCATGCTGGAGAACATGATCATCAGGTTGTCGCACAAACTTGTGGAGTTTGAGTGTTGCTATTAATAAATGAAGACAGACAAACCAAATTCATGTTAACTGACAGCTTTTTACTGAGATTGTTAATAGAATTTGTAATGGAAAAAAAGTAAAAAATCTGAAATTGTATTTTCACTAGTGGTCTCAGACTTTCAGATCTAACTGCATATGGAAACACCAGTATTGTTACTGTTAACTAATCTATAAAATAATCTATAATTTGTTAACTAATCTATAAAATACTATTCAACATTTTTTTTCGCTAATTGAACTAAAGCGGAAATAAATAAAATAGAAATATTAAATGAAGAAATTAAACATAAAAACAAACATTTATTTTAGTTAGTTGCCAGGCAATATTTCTAACTGCTGTTTAAGTAAAAAAAAAAATAAATACATAAAATAATCAGCAATAATAATCAAAATCAGCAAAACCTAAAACAAAAATTAAAATGAAAACTAAAAATATACAAATAAAAGCTAATTCAAAATATTAATAAATACTATAATAGTAAATAATATTAAAATACTGTAACACTAAGAAATGCTATTTCTACAGTTGCCTGAATAAAAAGACGTTGTGGGATATGAGGCCAAAAATAATAAGCTGGCACATAAAAAAAATATATCATCAGCACATTCATTTACAAACTCAACCATAATTGCAGTGGGTGGCGGCTGGTGTCTTCTTTAAGCTCCCACTGGGAGTTTTCAATTAAGTGCAATTCTTTACTTTTTCTCTGAATGCACAAGGAAAAGTTCACTCTCATCAGAGTGCCAAAAGCCCTCGATCCTTAAGAACTGCGTCCAAATGAGGCCTTGTGCTCATGAATACTGCTCAGACAAACAATGGTGATTAATTAACACTGTCGAAACAGACAACAGAGGAGCTTGGATTTGCGTTGTTTGTTTAGTGAGACAGAGTATGTGTATTTCTGTAATGTGTTGATAACAGACAATGTGACTGATTCAACTGCGATTGAGTAAAATTAGGCAGCACTGAATCTATTAATTATGTAAATGGAAAACAAAAGAAAAGATATCAAAAATCTCAAGACACCATTAAGTTAATACCAACCGTGGGCATACTTGAATGACATCTACTCATTATGTTAATAAAAAGGGTAATACTTATCAAAGCTAATGGGAAGAAAAAAGAGAAGGATGGATGATATAAAGAGCGTGAGAAAAAAGCAAAGTAAATCAAGTAAAGACATGGTAATTTTGCTGCCTTACTTATACCGAGAGCTCATCTTTCTCTCTCTGCTCTGTTCAGACAACGTCTGTTGTGGCTGAGGACAGGACAGCTTCATTTACACATGCTGGTCATGTGTAGCACTCACAGAATATAGATGAGCCCTCCAAGCCACGGATAAGGAGATCCGTTCTATGAGTGCGAGCAGTCTTCATTTTCTAGCGACATGCAATTTGTCTGGCGCCGTGGCAGGCACTACTCATGAGACAGAGACTAGTGTGTGGCACCGTCCTCTCCAGAAAAGAACAGTGAAAGAGCGATGAAGTCACGACCAGAAGAATGATGCGATTCACCCTGCAAGGCTGCTTCAGCCGAGCAGAACAACAATGCAATTGTACACATCCTCCCTGAGAGATTGTTTTTGTCATTTGCTGCACCTGCTACAAATATCATAAAGTAAACTACATAAAGGCAAATAGGCCTACATATCTAATCACTCTATTCAACTAAACCCTTCACTATTGAATAGAAGACAGGGAAAAATATCTCATAATTAATTAATAATTATTTAATAATTTTAAGAGTGCTTTTAAAAATTAGGCACTGGTAAATTATAAATGGTAAACAAACAAATAAAATATTATTATATAATGACATATTAATGATTCATATTTTTATTTCAAATAATTTATTATTGTCAGAATACAGACCTAGAATTTAACAGACATCAATGGAGAAAACCTTGCCCTCAGAAAGGTATAGTTACAGCATCTACAAGCAGGGCCAAACTACCAGTGCTGACCAGTAAAACACTGAGCCAAACCCTGAACAGTTGCCGTGGGGTGAAATGTTTGAGAAACCGGTTTCTTTTTGCTATTTAATTTTGTAACATTAGCTTTAAAGGCAGTTTGTTAAGGCAGATGTAACAATCACAGAATCTCCTATTTTTTAATTTACAAGTTCAATACCAGTCGGACTAATGCTGCCCACAAACGATACGACTTCAAATCCATCAGACTCAAGTCAAGATAAATTGCAGGACTGCAGGAGTCTCAGACAAGTCTAGACATTTAACCTGCTCTTGGGCTTCTCTGACACATCTCTCAGATCACATCCTTAAAAATTCACACATTGTGATCATCACTTATGTGAGCGGGCCTGTGATTTTGAGGCTCAGTTTTATTAACTGCTGACAAGTGGAGAATCAGGGCTAAAATCGTGTAGCGTAAAAGCAGTTTAAAACGTTTAGTCCAACTGAAATTGTACTCATCCAGTTTTTGCTGACCTAGACTACAACTGGCCTCTGTGTTGAGTGCTTGCTCTGAAAGAAAAGCTTAGGTGATGTGTATTTAATCCTTCAAATATCTGATGATGCATTGAGCCATGAATACTTGGACAAACAGATGAAGAATGTAAATGTGTGATGTAAATGTGCTTAAAGGGATAGTACACCCAAAAATGAAAATCCTGTCATTGTTTACTGTCATCCTGACATCTCAACCTCATGTCGTTCCAAACCGCTAAGACTTTGGATAACCTTAAATATACAAATTAAAATATTTTTAATGAAACCTAAGAGGTTTCTGTCCCTCCATTGAAAGTTCAGGTAACCAAGAACCAAAAATGTTGTAAAGGTATCGTAAAATGAATCCATATTATTTGAGTGGTTTACTTCAAGTCACGTGTAGACATACAATCGCTTTATATGATTAACGGTTTTGATGAACAGGCCTTTGTGACCTTTTCTGAAGTTTGGTTACATGGACATGGACAATGGAGGAAACAATGGACAGAAACCTCTCAGGTTTTTATTAAAAATATTAGGGATGCACCGATACCGATACTGGTATCGGTATCGGGCCCGATACTGGCCTCCTGTACTCGTACTCGTACTCGTTAAAATGCCCCGATACCAAACGCCGATACCACACAGCATGTGATAAGCGCCATATTTAAACAAAGAAACACTGACAACAGACAGCAGAAAGGAGTTATGGATGTCTACTACGAAGTATATGTATGCAATGAATATAATGTTAAACATTCAGTATTAACGCCTGTATAGCTGATGTGTGCGAGCTGATAAACAAAGCACGCTGAGTGGATTGAGCGCGCGGCGGCGCAGATGCGCGAGCTTGTCGAGTGAATATACCTTTCTCACAGACATCATTGGAAAGTTTATAGTTCGGTCGGATATGTCAAAGACAAGTAAGTAAAACAATGCACAAGTTACTTAACGGTAGGGAGAGAGCGAGAGAGAGCACGCGCGCACTTCTGTTGTGTGATCTTTGATGTTCGCTCACTTAGCACGCATCATTTGAATTAAAACGAAATCGTACAAATAAAACCATTCATAGGGGCATTCACTATAATCATCATTTATTTTCAACCTTAGGCATACACGACTTTCTAGCGAAAGTGAATCTAGCAGCCTGTGTGAAATGCGCTAGACTGTACTATTCTGCATCAGTACAAACACGTGCAGGCGTTGCGCGTGTTTTGCTTGCTTGAGTGTTTCTGCATTATATGAGTGGCTTTGGAATATAAATCGCAGCACGTTTCAGATGAAAAAACGCGACTTCTATTTCTGAAAATATCACAGTTAGGAGATTTATAACGAGTGGTTCCCTGCATTATTACAGCAAAGCGCGTGATTACAGTACTAAGCCGCTGCTCTAATGCTATTAAATTAAAGATGATGTACCATAGAGCAAAAAAATGAACAGTAAAATTAACAAAAACTTGTAAAATACATTTTAATGGGCATAATTACGTGTGAAAATAACCGAAGGATATACAGTGAAACCAAAAATGATTCAGAGACCAGATATAATTTTTGATATTTTTTTACTAGTGGGTGCAGGACACTATAGTTCATTTATGTAAGTGAGGATAGCAAAATAAAGTAAACTGTGACAAATCATACCCAAAAATTCTTCATACAGTGGACTACCAGTAAAATTGATACAAATTTGGGTCCAAAAATTATTCAGACCGAGTCTGGGAAAAAAACTGAAGTTGAGGTTTTCATGAAGCTGGGTGACAGCATGCCCAGGAGACTACAGGCTGTCATTGAGGCTAAGGGTTGCCCGACTAAGTATTGCTAGTTGTGTAAATACTGTCATACTAACAGCTGTCTGAATATTTTTTGGTTGATTGTAATCTATTACATACCTTTCTATCAGAATTATCTAGCATTATCAAGATGAATTTGTTCTGACACAGTGTAACTCTGAGTTCTTGTCATATTTTATTACCATTTTCTAAACTATAGCGAATAAACTGTGATAATGTGAGAAATGTTGAAGGTGTCTGAATAAATTTTGGTTTGACTGTATCTATTTGATAAATGAAGTTAACCAACTAACTTTATACATACCCTTTTGGTTTCTGTACCCAATATTTAAAACATGTACAAATGCAATAAAAATATCGGTATCGGTACTCGGTATTGACAAGTACCAAAAATAAAAGTATCGTATCGGGCGAGTACTGGAAAAAGTGGTATCGGTGCATCCCTAAAAAATATCTTCATTTGTGTTTCAAAGGTTAACTAAAGTCTTATGGGCTTGGAAGGAGAATATGGTCCCAGAATTTTTATTTTTTTGGTGAACTGTCCCTTAAAGAGCAACTCTGTAAGCAAGATTATACTACAGAAATAAAAACATCAGTAGTAATGATGCTACAAAACGTAAATTGCAGAGCATCAACAGGACATTTTACATGGTGCGGCTCATACTCACATCAGCCCCTAGAGATGGCTGCAGGTCAGATTCTGCTGTAGGACTCAGGTCCTGCCTCATTACCCAGATGGGTTCTTTGGGCTCGTCTGGCGTGTAGGGCGAGCGGACTGTCCTTGTCTTCACCTCCTCTATTGCCTCTTTGATGTCCTTAATAGCCAGTGAGATTGCGTCTCTCTTCTCACGACTGCTCCTAACAACTGGAGCTAGCTCTTCTGAGGGACTTCTGGGGGGCTGCTCTACACCATCTCTTTCACTTATTGGCTCCGGGGGTTTGATTTCGTCCATTTGACCATGGGACTCTGACTCAGACCACTCTTCTTCTGTATTACCGTCCTTGTCCAGGCCCATAGCGACACGCTCCAGGCTCTGTGAGCTCAGACTCTCCTTCACCTCTGCCACAATCTGGTCAATGTCCTCATCCTGCTCGCAGCTGTCGGCACGGGGGTACGGGGCAAACTCTGCTTCTTTTTCGGGACTGTCCGACTCTCCGTCGGATCGCTCGTCATAGTGGTGGAGCCTGGACCCAACAGCCTCCTGTTGCTGGTACAAGTCACGATCGAAGAGCTTGAACTCTGCCCTGTGCTGTTGTGGAGTCTGTCCCTCAGCTTTGGCCGAGGGGGCGTCCGTGATTTCCTCATAAACGTGCTCCTGAAGGGTGTATTCAGCGTAGGGCTCAGAGTATGGCTCATCTTCTGTTGCTCCACCTTCATGGGCCTCTCCTGCTCCGGTAGGACTGCGATACATGGGTTGAGTGTAAACATAATTGGAGTAGTTGGGGTTTATCGTCTCTGCGTCATGGGGCCTCTCAGCATTGGGCAGGGGCTCTCGAGGTAGCGGCGGAGGCTGAGGTGGGTATTGGGGTTGGCGGTAAGCTGGACCACCGTGCTGTTGCTCCGACTCTGCGCTCTCTGTGTACTCCTCCGATTCCGGGCGAAGTGGGATGCCATATGTGCTTTCGTCTTCAGGCTCTGCTTCCAGGACCATGACTGCATCCCCCTCTGCACGGTCTGTGTGGTTGTGGAAGCCACTCTCTGTGCTGGCGGATCGGGCCAAAGCGCTGCCGGCATCTCCCTCGTCTTCCTCAGCTTCCTCTGGCTCTCTAGTGGGCAGCATGGCTTGTGTAGGAGAGATGAGATGCTGTTGTTGTTCCAGCCTGTGCTGTTCGGCTCTCTCTGCATCTCTCTGCTGCCTCTCCCGCTGTCGCTGTCTCTGTTGCTGCGCCCGGATTCGGGCCTCGTTGTCCCCCTGTCTGCGGTAACGTGTCACTGCAGGTCTCGGTATGGGCTGCTGAACGGGTTGCTGTTCGGTATCACCTTCTTCTGCTGGCCTTCTTGTGGCACGTGTGCGGTTCGTCCCTCCGTTAGATCCCTCGTACCTGCGGTAACGTGGGGCCCCCTGCTGTTGGGACTGGTAGTGGTTATTCTCCGTACCGTGGTTGCTGTGGTGGTTGCGGGGGCGACCGGAGCGGGAGCTGCCATCTCCATTGTCATGGCGTCTACGGTGGGATGAGGGGGGCTGTTGGCCCTCAGGGCCCCTACGCTCCAGGTCTGCCTCAGCCACCTCTCTCAACTCCTGGCCATGCGGCACCTCCTGGTGACTCATGGTTGGAATAAGGGAAGGTCTACACACAGAGCATTACTTCTCCCAGTAGGACTCCACTCAAGCACCACCTGCAGAAAAACAAACAAAAACCAGATATAAACCTTGAAACAGTAACAACTCAGTAAGAAAGATCATTTAAGCAGTCCATTAAAGGTGCAATCAGTAGTTTTTCTCTCAGGTATTACATACAAAGAAATGAAAAGTATTGCTACTACATATCAAGATTAGCTGCCTCTATGATGTAAAAGGATATGAGAATATTGCACCAATCAGTGAAATGCTCCTCAGTCATAATCTATGAAACTAAGGCAATTATGTATAGTAGTAGAAGTATTGAAGTATCTCTACCTGCCTTTACTGTGAGCTCACAATTTATCCCTACACAACTGCTAGAAATGCAAAGAGCTGTAGAAAAACCCCAAGCCTCCACTTTCATATCTCTTATAACTCCCATCAACATTGGCTGTGATTTGATAAGCACCACATAAGCTGAATAAGATAATACAATCATTTTATTAAGAGAACTCATATTCAAACTATTGTCAAGCTATCTGACCACTCATGTTTTCATATTAACCTCTTCACTTTTTTCTGTCTGAATGAGCTCAACAAAAAAAAGATTTTTGAGATGAGTTGTGATTTTTTTTTTCTATTAAAAAAAAAAAAGTAGGGACAAGTGGAACATAATTTATCTGGCAATTAACATAATTATGCCACAAATGATGTACAGTTGTACAGAACTAGGCATATTTCTTTAAGAGCCATGTACAAATCTGTACACACATGCAATGACAGCCACTGGCACACTTGCACAATTTTGTCCAAATGTCTTCATTAAAATACCAAACTTTTGACATTTCTGGAGCATTATGATGGGTGACATTTTGCAGCAGACTTCCATCTGGAATTAGACAACGCTTGAGACGAGCGATGATCTCATATTAATCAGCACAAACAATTAGCCACACTTTCATTCGCTTCCTGACAGCTTACCTAGAATGAACAGCAGTGTCTCTAAACTGTTAGGGAGAGGAGAGAGGTGATAGAAACATGCAGCAGCATAACGGCCTACTGAAACATGAGTCACCGCTACAAACGTGACGTCTGTTTCCATGCATGACGGAGTATGGCATGTTGTTAGAGATATCATGTCAGAAAGAAGTCAAGGTGCTCGTGTTCCTGTGAGGTGTGATCAAAAGTGACGGTGCACATACTGAACCCATCAGAAGGCAGCGGTAATTGGTGTAGACGTGAGAAGGTGCTGGAATGCCAGAGGAAACTAAATGACATTGAGCTCCCCTCCCTCCTGTCTCCAGTTGAAAACATGAACAAAATACTGAGGGCAACCACCTTGATGATCTGAGCCAGAGGCCAAAAAAACATCCATGCACACAAATACAGATGCACAAAAGCACCCACACAATAACAATTTTGCTTCTCCCATTAATATATCTTCATTACAGGAAAATAATGATAAATACTGTTTCAGAAAAAAAAATTTAAATATATTTTTTAAATGAATTAAAGTAAAGAATTTAAAATAGGTACTATGAAATTATGTTTCTGAAGTGAATGTACATTGTTTTAAAGATGTTTAGAATTTTTTTTTCTTTTTTTACTGGAAAATTGAACATAATACCTTTTCAGAACATAACTGCCATGAGTTTGAGAAAAAATTTTTTTTTAAAACAAATAAAATTTATTTCACAATACAATCTCTAAGATTATTTTATAGTGATTTGCATCTGATGTAAATGCATATTGTTTTAAAGATGTTTAGATTTTTTTACTGGAAAATCAGACATATATGTGACCCTGGACCACAAAACCAGTCTTAAGTCGCTGGGGTATATTTGTAGAAATAGCCAAAAATACATTGTATGGGTCAAACTTATTGTTTTTTCTTTTATGCCAAAAATCATTAGGATATTAAGTAAAGATCATGTTCCATGAAGATATTTTGTAAATTTCCTACTGTAAATATATTAAAACTTAATTTTTGATTAGTAATATGCATTGCCAAGAACTTCATTTGGACAACTTTAAAATTAAGTAAAGATCATGTTCCATAAAGATATTTAGTAAATTTACTACTGTAAATATCAAAACTTAATTTTTGATTAGTAATATGCATTGCTAAGAACTTAATTTGGACAACTTTAAAGGCGATTTTCTCAGTATTTTGATTTTTTTGCACCCTCAGATTCCAGATTTTCAAACAGTTGTATCTCGGCTAAATATACTCGGCCCTATCCTAACAAACCATACATCAATGGAAAGCTTATTTATTCAGCTTTCAGGTGATGTATAAATCTCAATTTCGAAAAATTGACCCTTATGACTGGTTTTGTGGTCCAGGGTCACATATATAGTTTCAGAAAATGACAATTTGCCAGAAGGGTTAAAAAAAACTTAAAATATAATCTTCATATACAATTTTGCATATCAAGTAACTGTATGTAATTAAAAGGAAGTGTAGATTTTCAACAGGAAAACGAGACACAAATACTGTTTGGGAAGATTATTTTTGGCAGCACACAGAGGAAGCAGCAGCTCCAGTTGCTGTGGTGAATCCCCCTCCCCAGCCTGATTAGGATGGTGTGTTCAAAGACTGTAGAATAATGACTGACTGTGAAAACTTACAACTCCTCCCCTCTCTAAGCAACTGACTCACCCAGTATTCATCCTGGAGACACCCCAACAAGAGAGAAAGAGAGAGAGATTCTTGGCATGGCTGAGTCAGGCAAATCAATCAACACTGGACTGACAGACCTAACAATGTGATCCTAGTGGGATGATTGTTTACCATTATTGATTTTGCACACACAACATCTCAGAGTCTTTCCTCTCCAATAGCCCAGAATATCATCTTGGAATATGCAAGCATAACTTTCATAAACTGTACATTTTTTAAAGGCTCAATGAAATCTAAACTGGACTTTTGTGCATCTACCAGCAGGGACTAACTGGCTCATAATAACTAGCTTTGTTTTTGATAACTTCCACTAAAATGTCTTGTTTCAATATAGGAAAAAATAGTACAGAAAATTGCTTTTGTCAAACCATTTCAGTGTGATGTGTAGCAACTTCTAGTTATCAAACACAGACAATATGTCCTCTTTTTCTGTATGTGTCATGGCCAGGATTTCTAAATTGTCCAGGTTTTGGCATTTTTTCCCCAAATTATGTGCTCTCTACAGTCCTTATACATTATATGTGTATTTGCATCACGCTTTGACCGTTCTCAGTAGATCCCACCTTTTTGTACGTCCACGCTATTGGTCAAACTACTTTTCAGTCATCACCTTCAGCCAAAATCCAGACAAAATTTAGAAATCCCGGCCAGGACATATCCAGAAGAAAGAGAACGTACGGTCAGCCTATAGCTTAGAGATCAGCAAAGACAAAAAAATAATAGATATCTGGTTTGTATTTCAACAAAAGCTCCAATGAATGACCATGCTGTGAAAAATAGCTTCAGGCTCTACAGCTGTCTACTTATTTATATTTGTTGAGGAAATAGTAAAATGTCAACATATCTCCATCAAAGAACCAGAGCTTTAGACGTGTACTTGGAAAAACCTCTAGATATTACGCAAATGAGTATTTGAAAATAACCCTTAGAAAGTTATATCAGCTGTACGTGCAGCGTGGGTTGAAATCAGCATGACTGTGAAAGAGACGAGGAGAAGGAGAAGACAGCCTAAACATGTGCTGAAGGTCACTGGTGAAAGTAGAGGAGCTGGCAAAAGCTGGGCCAGATACAGAGAACGCCATGCCATTTTCAACCATTGCTCTCTCTCCCTCTCTCTCACACACACACACACACACACACACACACACGTAAGGTTCTTCGGTATGTGTGAGGAGCAGGTTTAATCAGAGAGTGTTCACAGCTCTCTCTCCCACACAGTTCCAAGCGGAGGTCTCACATAGTGGCTTACCCACAAGGACAAATCAGCATGGAGTCTCTACTGCTCCTCTCAGAAAGCACGATGCGAGGAGACGATGAACCATGGGTTGAGATTTGAGAAAAATTCATTAGTGTCATTGTTTTGAGTACCAGTAACATCTAAGCATCCCCAAAAGAAGTGAAACTGAGTAGAACCAAAGCTGCATAATATATTAAAGTCACTATGACAATTCTTAATTTTATGGAGTAAAAAAGTCATTCTAAATACTGTTAATGTTGAACATGCTCACGTGGATGGGAACTAAGGCTTCTCAGATTCATGAACTGTTACATGTTGTCTGAAGCCATATAGTAGCTGATACACAGTTTTACTGTTTTAATGTATCTTGTTTTAAGTATATTTAAATATTGGTAAAACAAAACAAAGACACTGATTAAGTATAGGAGAAAACATGTTTTATGTGACATGTAACAATACTGCAGTGTTTTTTTCCACTCAATGATATCACTGTGTAACAAACGTGGAGGTGGAACCTGATGGTTTAAGACCTTTACCACCCTCAGAACTGAAAAGATTTATGGTTGCAGACCTATCTGCGGGTGGTTAGCCAAACTCAGCAGACACACTCACTCATCCTCACCCACAGCGGAGTGGATCCGCTCCTGTCTGTAAAGCCGGCAGGGAGTGTGGGCAGCCTGTGAATAAAGACACACTGCTGTTTGGCTGCAAACAAACACTGCAAATCATTAGAGCCTGCAGTCCTACAGCGGAAAGGGCAGGGAATGAACCATTGCCTCAAGATCACAAACGGGACTCACCTGCTAATAGACAAATCCTGCTATCAAACCTGGTCAAAACTGGATAAAGACACTGGCTGTGTCCACCTTACCTTGCTGCCCAGTCAGTTAAAGAAAGCCCTTTTTGTTATGAATGCACATCTTAAGTAAACTGGTTTTAGAGTGACGTCCAAGGTAGCACAACTTCACGTCTGATGATCTACAGTACATCACCTGACAGTTCAACAATTGTTGCTTAATCTAAAACCAATTTATGTCAAAAATACAAATATGCAGTGAAAAAATAGTTATGTTAAGAAAATAAATGTTGCATTTCTCCCGCTTGAAATTTTAATTTAAGTATATGACTTAAAAATT